TGTACCTGGACTTATCTCTCCATCTCCGAATTAAAATCTGTCCGTAGGATCACAGAATATACGTGAACAATGTAGGATTATTCTTATTATCATGATTATAAACAAAAACAACTCTCAACATTTTGTATGTTACCAGGTAAGGCCCACTGACCTATGTAAGCTCTTTTTCGGGAAGCGATCTGGCTATCACATGTGACAACTCAACAAAGTGGCTTATCACGTGGAAATGTACAGCAGCCAAACACTCTAAACGCGTGATGTTCATTCTAAATGTGTAGGGGGGGAGGCGGTGGAATCCACGCTCCAACGGGGAGAGAGAAAGACACCGAAAGCTCCAAACATACAGCAGCGGGCGCCAGGGTCCGCATCGAACCCACGACTGCCTCTATGAAATACCAGGCGAGGTAGTTAATATCTGGCCACCGTGCACTCTCGTGCCAGTGCCTTACGCCCATAATTCCGAAACCCGCCGCAGTAGCGCGCCGGGATGAATGAATGAGACGCGGTGGGTCTTTGGGGAAACGTCGTTGGCGGAGTCCGTTCGTGAGTACCCTCGAACCCTCTCGACCGGGAATTATCTTTGCAAGGGCCGCTCACCGTCTCTCTCAGCAGCGGCTCCAGGGGTCCACGGTCAATCCACTGCTGGATGAAGTTGTCCCCCCCCCCTCCGTCCCCTCTGCCCGGGGGAGGTCGGGGGGATCAGCCCGCACGACCGACCAAATTCGGCGTGGCAAAGACTTCATCCAGCAGTGGATGGAACCCATCAACAACTCGACTGACAGTGACGATTGTGCCGCGGGTCTATTTTATAAGGTGTGGTCTGAGTTGCTCTGCAACTGCCAGCTCCGTCTCGTGAGCGTTTGATTCCGTACGTGCACTTGATGTACATTACATATGTGTGTGTGTGTGCATTATGGGGTCGACTCAGCCTCAAATGAATAGCTGGTGCAGTGTGTAAACATCGACACTGGGGAGACAAAGGCGGCCAGGCGTGGTGCTGGTCACCCACCCTCCTCGTGTGCCGTGTCGGTTTCACAGGTGCTCGCTAACAGCACTTGCCCCAACAGCCTGTTAAGGCTATACGGGGTATCTTTGTTTGCATCATGGGGAGCGGTGGCGCAGTGGTTAGCACGCTTGGTCACGAACCCAGTGTCTCAAGTTCTAAGTTCTCTGTTTCGCTGTTCGCCTTTTGGCGTTGTCCTCTGGTCTAAGGATGTTTGAGACGAGGCTCTAAAGAAAGCTGTCTCTGGTGTGGACCAATCAGTATCAAAGACAATGCATCATCATACACTACCAGAGCATGATTCCTTGCAAAAATATTTCCAGCCTTAAATGAGTACCTGGTGCGGAATGCGATCATCAGCACTGGGGAGACAAAGGCGGCCGGGTTTGGTTGCTGTCCATCTACACACTCCCTCATGTGCCGTGCCGGCCTTCAAAGGTTCTACTCGCTAACAGCACTTGCCCCGACAGTCAGTTAAGACTACACGGGGGATCTTTCTCTTGTTGTTTTTTTAATGCATATGAAATAATTAACATTGTCACTGACAATGCGAATAAGATTATAATCGTATTTATTGGGTGTGTATATTCTCCACTGCAACGCGAGCGACCGCGTTGCATTGCTCACCTCCGATGAGCACGGTCGGCTCCGTAAGCTGCGAAGGAAATTCTACACACACACACAGACACATGGGGAGTGTCAAAGCAGGGCCCCACATCTAACAGAGAAGAATCCTCGCCAATGAACATTCGGCGGTTCACCAGCATTGGGTGCAAGCGGCCTGACCGTGCTGCCGATGATGAGACGTTGGATGTCGTCAAAGCGCTCCGCAGTTGTTGTTGTTGCTGCTTGCATTGAACCATTCTGCTGAATTACGACACTCCCTAAAGGTCGCTGGCTGATAGAGATGTGTAAAACCCATATATATATATGCGTGTAAAATGTGTTTTACACACACATATCTACGTGTAAAATGTGGTTTACACACACATATATATATATACGTGTAAAACACACACACACACATATATAGAGCATCCATCATAGAAGGCGGTTTTTGGGTTAGATCGCGTAAATAGAAATGCTTCGTATTCTTTGGGTCTTTCGGTAAAGTCACGTCGATAGGTTCAAAGAAAATAACAAACAAAAAACTACGACGTTTCGATCGCAACACAAGCGGCCGTCTGCAGGAAGACGGCCGTCGTAATATTTTGTGATTTTCTTTGCGCCGATCTACGTGACTTTACCGAAGCATCGAAGCATATTAATTCCTGCAGTCACGAAAGCTTTAAGTCAAGGCGTCGTAGGCTTTCGCGATAAATATGATCCACAATGAAGGGTTTTTGGGTTGTATCGCGTTCTGTTTACGTTACAAACCTTACTGATTGGCCGTGTCGAGTGGTGGCGGGTTGAACGACGCATTAATATATTTACGCGATCAAACCCCAAAAAAAACCCTTCATTGTGGATAATATTTATCGCGAAAGCCTACGGCGTCTTGAATTAAAGCTTTCGTGACTGCAAGAATGAATATTCTTGGGTCTTTCGGTAAAGTCACGTAGATAGGTTAAAAGAAAATAACAAATAATAATTTAAAAAACTACAACGGTCGTCTTCCTGAAGACGACCGCTTGTGTTGCGATCAAAACGTCGTAGTTTTGTTATTTTCTTTGAATCTATCTACGTGACTTTACCTAAAGACCCAATAATATAGCCTACGACGTATGTGCAGTAAATATATGTGCAGCATATATGCAGTATATATGTGCATTATATATGGTGTGCAGTATATATGTGCAGTATATATGTGGTGTGTGTGTGTATATTTAAGTGTGCAGTTTTCACGGTGCACACAATTGTTCTAAAACGCAGCGCGCGAATCAGTTCGCCGTCGATTCGAGCTTCGCCACGCGGCGAGGCTTCGTCTCTACGCCGCCGGGCGCTGGCAAAATAACTTCATCCAGCAGTGGAGTCGCCCAGGGCTACCGAAGCCACCGCTGGCTGGCGTAGTGGGCCCCCTTTGTTCAAGGGGAGAGGCTGGGTGGGTTGAGCGGGCGCATCTCGACGTCAATTCGTGGTCGGGCGTGAGCGAGGTGGCGGTGCTCGATACGCTCCATCACCACGCCGTCCCGCCCTAGGAATGTGGAATTTCCACCGCGGTTGCTGTGCAGGGCTGTGAGCGTGGTGTGTTGAGCGCTGGTGGCTCGCTCCGACTGCGATGCTGATTGGTGCACGGTGCCTCTAGCTCTCTATCTCTCTGGCCTCTCTCTGTCGTCTGAAGAAGGGCCTTTTGCCCGAAACGTCGCCTATTATAAACGCTAAAGGTCACACACACACAGTGTGACTGTATATACATGTGTGTGTGTATATTTGTGTGTAGTGGTTCGCGCTACGCTGCGCTACGAACCCGGCGACCCGAGTTCGATTCCCGCTCATGGCCAACACCAGTAACGAATATCTGAACCGGTTCTGGGCCTCCCCTAGGTCGACTCAGCCTCAAATGAGTACAGTACCTGTTGCGGTATGTAAGCATCGCCACTGAGGAGACAAAGGCGGCCTGGCGTGGTGCTGGCCACCCACCCCCTCGTGTGCCGTGCTGGCCTTCATAGGTGCTCGCTAACAGCACTTGCCCCAAGAGTCTGGTCAGGCTATACGGGGGATCTTTGTCGTGTGTGTAAGCCCTGCGTGTGTCTGTGTGTGCGTGCATGGCTGTAAGGCTGTGCGTGTGTGTATATCTTTATCTTCTGTGTATATCTTCAAAGGTGTCCGCGAACAGCCCTTGCTCCAACAGTCGGTTAAGGCTATGCAGGGAATATTTGTCTGTGTTGTGTATATCTGTATGTATCTTGTATTACATCTGTGCATCTGTATGTATCTCTGTGCATCTGAATGTATATGTGTGCATCTGTGCGTATATATCAATGTATCTGTGTGTATATCTGTGCGTGTTTATGTCTTTGTATATGTGTGTATATGTGTGTTTCTTAGTGTATATCTGCGAGTGTATCTGCGTGTATCTGTGAGTGCATCTGTGTGTATATCTGTGTATGTATATCTGGGGAGCGGTAGTGTAGCGGTTAGCGTGCTATGCTACGAACCCAGCAACCCGAGTTCGATTCCCGCTCACGGCCAACACCAGTAACGATTATCTGAACCGATCCTGGGCCTCCGCTACGTCGACTCAGCCTCAAAATGAGCACCTGGTGCAGTGTTAAAATCTGGGGAGACGAAGGCGGCCGGGCGTGATGCTGGCCACCCACCCCCTCGCGTGCCGTTCCGGCCTTCATAGGTGCTCGCTAACAGCACTTGCCCCAACAGTCTGTTACAGGTTAGACAGGGATCTTTGTTTTTTGTTTTGTATATTTATCTGTGTATATCTTTGTGTATAGCTGTGTATGTGTATATGTGTGTATATATGTGTATATATGTGTGTATGTATGTGTATATCTGTGTGTGTCTGTGTGTGTATGTGTATGTATGTGTATATCTGTGTGTGTCTGTGTACATGTATCTCTGTGTGTGTCTGTGTGTGTATGTGCGTATATATGTGTGTATGTATGTGTATATCTGTGTGTGTCTGTGTACATGTATCTCTGTGTGTGTCTGTGTGTGTGTATATATGTGTATGTATATGTGTATGTATGTGTGTATGTGTGTATATATGTGTGTATGTATGTGTATATCTGTGTGTGTCTGTGTACATGTATCTGTGTGTGTGTCTGTGTACGAGTATCTCTGTGTGTGTCTGTGTGTGTGTGTATATATGTGTATGTATATGTGTGTCTGTGTGTATATCTGTGTGTATGTATGTGTATATCTGTGTGTGTCTGTGTACATGTATCTCTGTGTGTGTATATATGTGTGTGTATATGTGTATGTATGTGTGTATATCTGTGTGTATGTACGAGTATCTCTGTGTGTGTCTGTGTATGTGTATGTATGTGTATCTCTGTGTGTGTCTGTGTACATGTATCTCTGTGTGTGTCTGCGTGCCTACCCGAAGACGGTCTGTCCGAGTACCGCGTGCAGTAAACCCACGCGGGCCACATCAGCTGCTGCTGCTGCTGCTGGCGGGCCTCGGCGGCGGCGGCGGCACCCTCCCCGGACCCCCCTCCCTCCCCCTCCTCCTCCTCCGCTCGCTGCTCCTCGGGTCCCGCCGTGATCCTCTCTGGACCCCGGCTCAGCGCAGACCTCTCCTCTTCTTCCTCCTCGACCACAACCACCTCCTCCTCCTCCTCTTCATCTCCGTCGTCCTTGCGAGCCGAGGACTCTGCCGCACCTCCTCCACCTCCGCCACCTCCTCCACCTCCTGCTGCTGCACCCCCCCGCGTCACTCTGCGCTGCCGCGGGTGGTGCTGGTGGTGCAGGTGGTGCAGGTGGTGCAGGTGGTTGTGGTGGTTGTGGTGGTTGTGGTGGACTTCGTATGACCGCTGCAGGGAGGATCCCCCCGTTGGTCCGCCGGTTCGCTCCTTACCACCACCACCACCACCCGTGAGCTCTGGACAACCACGGCCACCACCACCACCACCGCCACCACCGCCGCCGTCCTTCCTGCGACCAAAGTCTGGCCTGAGGATGTTGTCGATGAAGAAGTAGGTGGTGACGCGGTCGAGTGGCTGAGCGCCCCCCCCGGGCGCGTCCTGCCCCCCCTCCATGGAGTGCTTTGTGGGGGGGGGGGGGCGGGGGGCTATGGGGGGGGTGGTGGAGTATGAGAGTGGAAAAAGTGTGGGGGGGGGCGGAGGTGGGAGGGGGGGCTGTTAGGGGTGGGGGTGGGGGGGAAGAGAGGAGGCAGACGAGGTGGTCTCGGACTCGGCTGTTCCCCGACACTCCTCGCTCGCCTCTGCAGCGATTGAGCCCTGGGGCTGCTGTGAGCAGCGGCGAGGACGTGGGGTCCTCCCCCCGCCCCCCTCCCCCCCAATCCCCCTACAGCCCCTCCCCTCTCACCCCCCCCCCCCCCCCCCATGCTGCCGCGAGCCTCCAACAGCCCCGACTGCAAACAGCTGGACACCCACCGCAGCACCCCGAGTCGCAAACCCTCCTTGGCGTAGGGCAGCCGCGCAACCTGCCATGGGTGGAGGCGCTGTTGACTCCGTACGGTGCGAAAGAAGTCCAACATACGCACGCACGCGCGTGCAGCCCCAGGGCTGCCCGGCCCATGGTTGGGCCGGACAGCCCGACCGACACGCCGGCTGACGAGCGGACCCACAGTGGAACAAACACCCAGGACCAACAATCCGGACAATTATCACATCCCGCAGTAAACAATAGCCGGCCCGCTATCGTAAGAATCACACACACACACCTTGCGCGGTACCCAAAACACGGGACCGCCTTCGACACCCTAAACACCACCACCAAGCACCAACCAACACCAACAGCCGCCGCTCTCCACCAAGTGACGGTGACGGCACCACGGCGTCTGTGCCAGGCCACGTGCGCGTTGAGGCCACGTGCAGTGTCGGAGGCTCGCTGACCAGGAGGTGACGGCACAGACCCCACCATCGCCGCGCTCACCAGAAAACAACCAAGACAAAGATCCCCCGTGTAGCCTGAACAGACTGTTGGGGCAAGTGCTGTTAGCGAGCACCTACGAAGGCCGGCACGCCACGCGAGGGGGTGGGTAGCCAACACCACGCCCGGCCACCTTTGTCTTCCCAGTGGCGATGTTTATTACGCACCGCACCGGGGCACTCATTTGAGGCTAAGTCGACCTAGGGGAGGCCCAGGACCGGTTCAGATAATCGTCACCGGTGTTGGTGGCCGTGAGCGGTAATCCAACTCGGGTCACCGGGTTTGTAGCGCAGCGTAGCCCTAACCGATACACCACCGCTCCCCACCATCAGCACCCTCACCACAACCTCGATTACCACCACCACCAACATGACCGCCCCCATAACAATCACCACCGTGGTCACGGTCGCTCGGACACCATCAACACACGTGGACATAGATCCCGCGTGGAGCCTGCATAGACTGTCCGGGCAAGGGATATTATCGAGCGCCTATTAAAGCCTGCACTGTGCACTGGGGGTTGAGTTGAGAGCACCTCGCCCGGCCGCCTTTGTGTCCCCACTGCAGATGTATACGCAGGCAGGGAGATGACCATTTAAGGCTGAGTTTACCTAGGTGGGGGGAGACCCGTTGAGCCGATCACATGGTCGGAATCGAACTCGGGCCGCAAGGTTTCTTAGCGTAGCGCGATAATCACTACGCTACTGCTCCCCAGAGTACAACCCTCACCACCAGCACTCACACCAATACCGACACTGCCACCACTGCCACCACTCACACCAATACCGACACCACCACCATTACTACCACGACTCACACCACCACTCACACCATCACTGCCAACATCACCACCACCATCGATGCCATCACGACCAACACAGCCACTACTCGCGCCACCACCATTACAATCAACCACCGTTTAACACCGCTAACACCATCACCGCCGCTACCAGCACAACCATCACCGCCGCTAATACCACCACCAACTCCCAACAAATCTCTAACCACCACTTCTACCACAACTCTCTGCTCCCATCACCACTCCCTCTCGCTCTCTGATGGCGGTGTACAGAACGAGGAAATTGATGCTGACGGCTGCTCCGTGCTTCCAGTGTTCAGGGACCTGCTCAAGGCGCGGCTCCGGCTGGAGCACGCCACGTACCACACACATGCCGGTGATGTGCAGCGCGTCTTCTTCGAACGCTGGGGGGCCGGAAAAGCCCCTCTCTGTACCAGCGTGTATGGCACCCTTATGTTCACCTTCTGAAGCACTCGCTCGTTGCCATGGCATGCGCGATGACCACCACCACCACGTGACTTTTCTTTCGTGTTGTGCGCGGCGCATTTAGCGCCACAGCGTGTGGATTTATAGCGGGTGTGTTATTTGTGTTGCTGGTGACTTTGTCTATTTCGTATCGGAATCGCCTCCAGTGCTGTTGCTGCTGGCGGCAATAAAAGGCGTTTATAAGTCAACAGTCTCTGTCACCTCTCTCTCTCTCGTATCTCCTCCACTCATCGATAACGCCTCTCTCTCCAAGACTCTCCTTCCATCTTTCTCCCCTCTCTCTCTCCATCTCTCTCTCACTTCTCTCTCTTTTTTTTTTGTTTACGATCAGAGGAAACAAGAAGATGCTGGGTGTAGTCGGCACTTTGCTCCGTTCATCATTTCGTTTTTTTTTGTTTTTTTATGCTTTGCTTTATGTGACCCCCCCCCCCCCTTTTAAATGAAAGACCCAAAAATTGTTTTTTCTTTTTTTCTTTCCCCTTCCCTCTATCTCTACCCCCCTCTCTGCCCCCCCCCTCTCTCTCTACCCCCCTCTCTGCCTCTCCTCTCTCTCTACCCCCTCTCCACCCCCCCCCTCTCTCTCTGCCCCCTCTCTACCTACTCCATTTGGCTCTCTCTCGCTCTCTCTTTTTTCTTTATAACTACGACAAGTGCTGCATCTGCACGCAGCCCTTCCCACAGTCAAACGGCCTCCGACAGGTAGCTCAGATCTGCATGCAGAGCTCTCCGTCATCTGCCACCGAGCACACGGCCTCCTCCAGCGCCCACTGCTCCTTGAAGGCCGGCACGGCGTGGGTCAGCCGCGCATGGCGGAACTCCAGCAACACCCTGGCTTCTCTCTACTTCTCTCTCCCTCTCTCTCCCCTCTCTCTGCCTCTCTGCCCTCTCCCTCCCTCTCGCTCCCCTTTCTCTTCTCTCGCTGTCTCGTACTCCCCCAGCTCGCTCCTTGTCTCCGGATCTTTCCGAGAATATCCTTCCCAAGCAAAACACTCGCATGCCATCAAACAGCATCGATGCGACTCACATCGATGCCACTGCAACATGACTCACTGTCTCTCCTTTCGCAGCCTCTTCCGTTGATGTTGTGAGGGCCGACGTCTACCCCGCTGTCCTCGTTGGGCAGGTGGAGCGCAACGTTTGCCCCCTCCACTCCCTCCTCCACTCCCTCCTCCACCATGCCGTTCGGCCCATCTCGCCGGGCCCCCGCCGATCGGGTGATCGCTCCCCCCCCCGCGCCAGCGCCCTCTCTGAGGGACATAGCTAATCGGCTGGCTCACCACCGCCCGGGGTTATCCCGCACGCGCCCACATACACCACCACAAAGGCGAACGTGGAGGCGTGCACACGCGCGCCCCTGCAGGCGTGTTTTTCGCGCAAAGGTTAGCGCTAAAGACAACTGAGGTATCAATATGCATGCGCACCTCCGGGTGGCTAAGCCCTAATACGCTTGCACACCAAGGCTAATGCTAAAGAGCTGTATGAATTTGCTCGTACGCCTCGCCGTTAACGCTATTGTCGCTGTGTAAACGCCGGCGAGCGGGTTTATCGCACCCCGCCAGAATTACTCACGCGGCACACTGCAGGCGCTCGTGTTTCACACACGAACCCAATCACTCCAGCGTTCTACCACGTACCTCGAAGCTGGACTCACGGCGTCGCACGGACGCTGTGAGAGTCGGAGCGAGTCGCTCGAGGAGGCAGGACGGCAGGGGGTGGATCTTGACGGCCCGGAGGTTGAAGGCAACTGAGCTAATCGTCCAGGGGCTCCCACCTTTATTCTCTAAACTTCAAAGGCCCGCCCTTACCTGGAGCATCATTTTCCATTAGGCCTCGACCCATTGTCTGCGCGCCCGCCCTCGATCCCGCGGAGGTGTACTCCAGGGCTTTCCCTCCCACTTCCCATCTGCGCCGCCCGCAGGCTATTTCCCCCCTGGCCCCTCCCCCTCCCGTGCCGCGAGCGTTCTCATTGTGGTTAGCCCGGTGAGTTTCTGTGCGCCCATACAATATTAAACCAATTTAGGGGCACTGCAATGTCACCCGTCCTGTGAGGGTCGGCCAATCTCCTGGCACCGGGAAACCGTGAGACTCTCCCTCTAGGAGCCCTTCGGATTAAAACCCGATGTGCCAGGCAACCCCCCGTCAGGACACTACTACGTGGGTCGCGCTGCGTGCGGGTTGTGTGTTTAGTGCGGGGGCAGGGAGGGGATCGCGCGCTCTTCGCCACGATGTCCGGCGTGTCTTGGGTGCTCCCTTTAAAGGAGCATTACATTCCTGATAGAAGAACCGAATTCAGTGGCAGAACAAAAAGCGCTCAGGCACTTGCAGCGAAACGTCGGGCATATAAAATACATGGGCGGGGTGGGGGGATAAGAAGGGGGGTGGGGGCAACGGTGGGAAGTGCCCACTCGTGGCAGAGAGCGTAGCCGTCTGTCGTAAACAAAAGACAAAGATTACCCGTATAGCTTAAACAGACCGTTGGGGCAAGTGCTGTTAGCGAGCACCTACGAAGGCCGGCACGGCACACGAGGGGGTGGGTGGCCAGCAGGACGCCCAACCGCACTTTGTCTACCCAGCGGTGATGTTTTACACATTGCACCAGGTACTCATTTGAGGCTGAGTCGACCTTACGGGAGGCCCAGAACCGGTTCAGACTCATCGTCACCGATGTTGGTCTTGAGCTGGAATCGGACTCGGGTCGCTGGGTTCGTAGCGCAGCGTAGCGCTCACCGCGATGCCACTGCTCCTGTACTTGTACAGCAGTATAAGTACAGCAGTACAGCAGTACAAGTACAGCAGTACAAGTAGAGCAGTACAAGTGGAGTATTCCTTACTCATTCCATCAGCACGCGCGGACTTGCT